CGGGACGACTCTTACAATGACATCCAGGTCTGGAACTACCACTTGTTGCCCCAGGCATTGGGTGGTCGGCTCGATTCGAACGGCGTGGATGCCCACACGGAAGCTCAGTTCGTCGATGCCCTGTCGTCATATCGTGGAAAGGGCCTGCAGGTGGTGAATGCAAGGCTGGACAAAATGGACATGCCAAGCTTTTTCATCGAGATGAGTGACATGCTAAAGCACTGAAGCTCTCTGAAACTTGCAGAGATGGCCACAAAAGGATGTGAAGGCATCCTCTTGCGACCGAGCCTGCGCCGACGATGCCGCAGTGCTCAGGCCATGGCCCTGGCTCAGCTTCCCCGCTGTACAGGAGGGGGGACTCTGTCTGGCCATTTGCGGTGATGTACAGATGGCGCGTGATGAGATCGCCCTGGCGAGTGATCCCGAAAAAAGGCATCTCTCCAGTGACCGGCACGGCTCGTCAAGCTAGAATTGCTGCCCTCAACTCTGAACCCTGCAAACTCACTTCACTATTCACTATACGCCCTGAGTGAACTGCAGCACTTAATTCAAAACCGTGGACAGAGGCACTCGGGAAGCTTCGTCTTTCGCTTCGGCTGGCGGGGAGTGGGGAGTGCTGCCGCGCACTTACGCGCGGCATCCATGGCCTAGGGTTCAGGCTTTGGGTTTCGGGTCCGGCACTTAATTGTTCATTGTCATGGAATCACGGGAAGCGTCGGTGTTCAGGAGCCAGGCCAGGTTGTGGCAATGCCTCACATTCCGTGGCCAATGCGTGCAGATCCAAATTCGATCTCCCGATGCCTACAAAAAACTGAAGCCCGGAAGCACAGGAATCGGAGCACTGAGCCTCGGACTCCACGATCAGAAAGCAACCGACCTTGGATTTCGAGCCAAGTGTAGCCTTGCCGGGGCTTTGCATCCTGGGCAGCAGCCAGTGCGCCCTATGGAGCCCAGAAGCCCGAAGCAGTGCACCCAGGATGTCCATCCCAGCGGAGAGAAGGTCCGGAGCTTGGCTATGCTGGTGGAAGCTCATACGAGACAGCTCGTGTCAGGGTTCTCTTGTGCGTGGGCACAGCTAGCTTTCACAATTAGCAGCATTCTGCGGGGGCTCTTTGCTGTGCTTGGTGCAACTTGCGGCCATCGTTGTGGAAAGCGGACGGCAGCCCTTTTCTCTCCAGACCTTTGAGCGAGCGAATGCAGATCAGACTAGCTGTACTCATGAACGAAGGGCACCACTAGCACCACCAATATCATCATCGTCAACGCCATCATCTTCACGATCAACGTATCAGCAACATCATCATCATCATCACCATCATCACCATCATCATCACCATCACCATCATCATCATCATCACCATCATAATCATCATCATCTTCCTTATCATCCTCATCATCTTCATCATCTTCCTCCTCCTCCTCATCATCACCCATGACCATCATCCGTCACCATCATCATCATCATCACCATCATCGCCACCATCATCATCAGCATCATCACCATCATCGCCACCATCATCATCATCATCATGGCCGTCGTCATATCGTCATTGCGATTCTCCGTTGGAGTTTCACAAGCGGCAGCCGAACATTTTCAAATGCGAGTGCAGCATGAGGTTCATCCGAACCTGCTCGCCAAGTACCTTCAGGCGCAGCGCAAATTGGGACCGAGCAGTTGCTTCGCCGAGATCGTTACAAAGTACATATCTGTGAATTCAATGTAAATATACATATACATATGCATGTCAGTATAAATAATTAGTATATATACGCATATATATATATATCTATATATATATATGAACAATGAATATGAATATGAATGTAAATGTGAGTATAAAGACACTTTTAAATATAAGTATAACTATGAATAACTAAGTTTCGACATATCTCTATATATATATACACATACACTTGTGTGCGCATGTGTGTGTGTGCATATATATATATATGTGCATATGTGTATATACATACACATGTACAGATGTGTGTGTGTATGTATGTATGTATGTATGTATGTAAATAGATAGATAGATAGATAGATAGAGAGCTGACTCCCAGGACAGTCCCTTCTGTATAGATAGGTGGTTAGAGAGCCGTATGTATGTATACATATATACATATAGGCATACATGACATGCATGCATGCGTGCATACATATGAATAATCAACTAGGTAAATAAATCAATAAAATAGGAATATATATATATATATGTGTGTGTGTGTGTATACATCTCTCTCTCTCTCTCTCTCTCTCTCTCGCTCTCCGACCCTCTCTCTCTCTCTCTCTCTGTGCGCGTGCGTATGTGTGTCTGTCTGTGTGGGTGTCTGGGGATATATGCAGTTCTGTGCCTGCCTACCTGGATGGTTGCATGCAAGTACGTACGGTTGTAAGTACATCTTGACAAGTGTTTCTATCCATTTACCTATACAGGCAGAGGCTGCTCCCAGAGATGGGCATACAAACAGACATACACACTCGCGTGCATACAGATACAGATACACTTGCACGTACCCATGCGCATAAAAATGGGCAATCTTCTGCGTATACATTTACATACGCACGGACATACATATAGACACATATGCATACACACACACACACATACAGACATATATATATATACACACACATACATACATACACATACTTACATAGCAAACACACATACAAAGAAGTAAAAGTACACATGGACATACATATACAAACATATATATATATATACATATATATATCTATCACATACAAATAACGTAATATAATGTGATATAATAGAAAATACATATAATATACTATAACCTATTATGATGCAATATAGTTTACCATGATATAATATTGTATAAAGTAATATGATATAATATAACACGATATAACATAAAGCAGCATAGTATAACATAGTATAATGAAAAAATCCCATGTAATCTAATGCAATACAATAACATATAATATAATATAGTATATACATACACACCTACATTCCGACGGGTTGCATTTGTCCAGGCTGCTGCGAGGCGTAGGAACATTGTGTCCAAGCGTCCTTGGGTGTCAGAAATGGAAAATGCTTTCTACGATTCATGATGGTACGCAAAAATCACTTCCATTGTCACCTGGTGATGTCGATCCCATACAGGAGGAGGAGTGGTACACTGCCCTGACGCCCACTGCTCAGATGTTCAAGGAGGAGAGTCGGAATCCGCCTTCTTTGTCAGCGATGGGGCTCTCGACGTCTTAAGCTTAGGATTGCCCGAGCCGACGGATCACGTATCAAGTGACTGCTGCTGAGGCACTGGCTTTTCAGCGTTTTGAAGTCGCTGTTCAGCACGATGCGCCCATTCAAGAGCCCCTCGGTCTGCACGAAGATTTGGCATGTAGACCGGAATGGAACGCAAACAACTTCCAGTGCTCTAGGCCCCCGGCCTTTGACGGCATCGCACGCCAAGTCTTAGTCCCTCGCTCCCGCTCCCCGCTCCGCGCTCCTGCTCCCCCTCCCTCGCGATCTCATGTGCCACACGCCATGATTCTGCAAACATGCTGTGTGCACTTGTGGTCGGTCAGTCGGCCGGCACGGCTCCTGCTTTTGAAGCCGAGTTTTCATGCCGCTTTTGCGAGGCGAGTACGTTCACCAGGCGCGGATGAAGATCTGTGAGACGGGCATCTCGCGAATTGAAGTTGCACTGCTTTGAGCTGCGACCCTGACCGCAAGAGTTGGGAATCGATTTACTTCGTGGAATGTGCTGGGTTCAGACTGCAACCTTGTCGTCGTTGTCGGTGGCTGTCTCTTGGCTCTTTGGGTTTGCAGGTATGTTATGGTACTGTATGCATAGCATAGTGAAGTATCGTATGGTATGGGATGGGAGGGACGCGAAGGGATGGCATAGGACAGGACAGGATAGGCTAGGACAGGACAGTCTGGCATAGTATAGCGATAGTATAGTGTCGTATCTAGTATAGCATCCTATGTGATGTCTGCTATAGCATATTATGGTGTAGTACCTTATAGAATATTTTCGTATCTTACAGCATAGTGTAAGTCCCCCGCCATGCCTTGGTCTTGGACAGGCGGATGTCTCGTTCTACATGGTCTGTCGTAGTTTTGACCGGGAGAAGTTCGAGATGCACAACTGGGAGGCGCGTGATTGGAGCTCAACTTTCCGGAGATTCGTGAAGACTCGAGACCCCTCAATGTCTGGCCCAGGATGGTTTCTAAAAGAAAAGGCTTAGCCTTTCTGCAAAAGCGAGTACGGGAGTGAACAACAACTGTCTCCCAAGACCTCGCGCTCCAAATCTTCTACGAACCCTGGCGCCCCGAGCGGCAGGCGAAGCTCCAGAGAGCTTACGACGAGATCACCAACTGCCAGGCCACTTCCCTGGACGACAGCGTATGTTATGGCCTTAACAAATACAAACTGATGCTATTCCATGCTATTCCCTAGGGGCCGCGGTGATACTAGTGCTATGATCTATCTCACCATATTCCATTTACCAAGGTCCCTGCCTTAGTCTTGCGGGACACAAATAGGGTATGCCGGAGGCGTACGTAAGGCTTTCCGCACGCTGCAGTGACGGCTGTATGAAGCTCTTTCCGCAACATGCACCCCCAGCATGAACTGATGGCCGAAACCTGAAATCCCAAAGCCAAGCGCTTCGAAACCCAGTGGGCGTAAAACGCCCTGAACAACACCTCCAAGCGCCCTGAAGCGAAGTACTGCCGGCGGAAGGATGAAGCCTTGTTGGTGGCAGGTCTCAAGGACTGCATTTTGATTGTTTACCGGGGGTTCAAGTAAGCAAAGTGAGGGACGCAAGACATCACGAGGTGCAAATTCAAAGTGTTACGACTCACGACATACATTAGCAGAGGAGCCGGGCTTACTTTGCTGATCTGGGTTTGTCATTGCAGGTCCGGGTGTGTGAGTGAAGGCTCCAGAATCTAAAGACGCCTTGAGCAGTCGCATCTGGCCTACTTTCCCACTGGCCTGAGAGACCGAGGGCCTCGTGCAGCAAGCCTGGAACAAAGACTACCAAAGATCAGAAAATGAAAGCACCATCCCGTATTGAAGCGCCGGAAGCCTTGGTATCGCTGAGACCCTTCCAGGAGGCTCTCAATCAGGGGGTCAAGGCTCGATTTGGCGAGGGTCTGTGGTCGCGCAGCGGGATACACCCACATGCCTGAATGTGCTGTCTCTGATACTTGGGCGCAGCATTTGGGGGCAATCGTGTAGGAGGCCGAAGCCTTTACTCGTAACCCGCCCGAATCCCCATGAGCCGAATAAACCCCAACCCTCTCAAGGATTCCAGTGTGGTGTTGACATCTCCAACCTTTCCCAAGCTCGCCATGGGTGAAAGCAGAGTGATTTCATTATCTTTCACCTGCCAAGCAGAGACCTTCTTGGGACAGGAGGTGCGTGTCGTAGGTTCCACAGAGGACTTCGGCCACTGGAACCCGGCCCTGGCGCCGGCACTCAAAACGGACGCTTCGGCATACCCGAAGTGGTTCGGCAACGTTGACTGCCGGGCATGCCGCAGCGAGTACAAGTTCGTACTCTTCGACACCCGAGATGGCCGAACGACCTGGGAACCTGGCATTAATAGATGTTTCAGTTTCTCGTTTGACGGCCATGCCCAGACAAGGGGTCGGGCAGAGCTCCATACGTCCCGCTTCGGGGTCGCCGACAATACCGGCCCTCGCATTGAGGAAAGTAGCTGGAACATGAGCGAGTCTAAAGTTGCTCTGACCGAGCATGCAATTCCAGCCGACATGCGCAAGATGGAACATGAAGAAGTCCAGTTCGACGTAATCTGCAACGAGACGGCAGTGGGAGAGACCGTCGTCGTCGTTGGATGCTGCAAAGAGCTCGGGAGTTGGAATCCCATGGACGCCCTCAGATTGTCCACGTCTCCCGAGATCTTCCCTCGTTGGAAGGGGACGGCTCATCTGGCCAGAGGCGCATATGAATTGAAACTGGCAATCATCAGCCAGAACTCTGCAAGATGGGAGACATCCGAGAATGGGCATATTGCCCTTCCTGCTGGCGAAGACGGCCCCTGGCAGGCCCGCAGTTCGTGGAACAGCAACCTCTGGGAAATGCATCCACGCCGGAGCAAAGACAAGGAAAGTGATGATAAAGATCTGGCAGAAAGGTACTCAGGTCTCTGTGACCAGGAGCTGATGCGACGTTCGGATGGAGTCGTCCTTCCAGAAGCTCCAATGCCCCCTGCAGGGACAGAGCTCGTCGATGAACCCAAGTTGCGTCTGTGGGCTGGAGCGCATTCCATCTCGAAGGCCCACGGCAACTGCGAAGATGCGTACTTCGTGACTGCACACAGCATGGGAGTTGCAGACGGGGTAGGTTGCTTCGCTGCGGCTAAATACTCAATGCACGGCGTCAACGCGGCAGAGTATGCCGCGGAGCTGATGCACATCGCCAGCCTGGCTCTGCAGCCCGAAGGCAGGGCCTCAGAAAACTTGGACCACAAAGTTGCACAGCGTGCTGCCATAGCATTGGCAGAAGCCGAGTCCAAAGCTGTGGGTTTCGGAGCATCTACGATTACAGTGATGTGCCAGCAAGACACGCAGATTGGCATTGCCAATCTCGGCGATTCTGGAGTCATGGTGCTGCGAAGAGGGCTGCACGGCATGAAAGTGATCATGAAGTCGGACGAGCAGCAGCACGGTTTTAACTGCCCGTATCAGCTTACTCGCTTGCCCGAGGTGCCGTCTGCCAGTAGTACTCTTTTGCAGTTTGAATTTTGGGATCTCCTTATGCAATCCGAATAGTAGGAAAATAGTACCCTAAGTATTGAGGGGCTACTGGAGAACCTAGGCGCTGTTAAGCCGCATCTCGCAGAAGCGGCTCGATGCAGCCGACACAGCTGCCGATTGCAAGACTTACACGGTGGAGATCAAGGAAGGGGACCTGCTGCTAATGTTTTCGGATGGTTTATCCGACAACTTGCACATTGAGGAGCTCCTCGCTATTGTGGACAGGGCATCGCCAGCTCAAGCAGACATGCTGGGGCTTATGGACCCGGAGAGCGTGGCAAAGGCCCTTGCTTTGGCCGCCCAGGACAGATCCCTTGACCCTGAAGCCGTGGTGCCATTCACAGCAGCCGCAAGGCGCCACGGTTTCAACTGCAAGGGGGGGAAGGAAGACGACATCACCGTCGCAGCGGCATGGGTGGTCAAGGATATGCACACAGCAGAGACAGCCACAGAGGCACCTCGCGAAGAGAGCCCTTCCCAGCGGCACACACCGGAGCTTGCGCTCACACTTTTCGAGTCGAAAAGACGCACTCGAGATGGGGCTGGCGACGCCGGTCCAAAGGGGCCACTACTCTTCCCACTGAGCCCCTCAAAGGCCGTTTTTTAGATCGAGGAAAGCGGTCCGGTTGAACAGGCGGCCCTCCTGTGACTGTACACAGGTAGATTATGGTTTACACAGTTTACACAGTATGATGACAGATAGTGATCATTATGGGGCTTTGAAGCGGTTCACCGGCCTCGCAGCTAATGTTTGCCGGCTTGCTGGCTCTTCGCACTTCAGTCTTTGGGAACCCAAGATTGAGTTTTTCCTGGGAGCTGTTGATCTGC